AAAAAAAAAAAAAAAAAAAAAAAAAAAAAAAAAAAAAGACAGGAGAGAAGAAAGGAAATTTGGTTGCTAAATAAGCACAGAACTGCAATGTAGAGAAGCAAAATAAATTATAAAAAGTGTACTAGCTTTTCTCTTGCTTCCCTAACAAATTGTCACAGCCTTAGTGATTTAAAACAACACAAATTTATTGTTACAGTTATGTAGGTTAGAAGTCCAACACAGGCAGGGCACAGTGGCTCGTGCCTGTAATCCCAGCACTTTGGGAGACTGATGCAGGAGAACGGCTTGAGCCCAGGAGTTCAAGACTAGTCTGGGCAATAGAGTAAACCCCTATTTCTACAGAAAATTAAAAAATTAGCTGGGTAGGTGGCATGCGCCTGTAGTGCCAGCTACTCAGGAGGCTGAGGCAGGAGGATCGCTTGAGCCCAGAAGATTGGGGCTGTAGTGAGCTATGATTTTTGTCAGCACTTCAGCCTAGGTGACAGAGTGAGACCCTGTCTCAAAAACAAACAAACAAACAAATAGAAGTCCAACACACGGATATCTCTGGGATAAAGTCAAGGTGTTCCCAGGGCTCTCTGTTCCTTCCTGGAGGATCTACAGGATAATCTGTTTTCTGGCCTTTTCCAAATTCTAGGGGTCATCCACAGACCTTCCTCTGTCTTCACGGCCAGCAGTGGCGGATTGAGTTCTCCCATCACATAATTCTATTAGTCTCATCTTCTGCCTCTCTCTTTCACTTTTTAAGGACCTTTGTGATTATATTGCATCCACTGAGAATCAAGGATAATCTCCCTGTTTTAAGATCAGCTAATTAGCAACCTTAATTCTATCTCCAATCTTAAATCCATATCTCCATACAAATTAATATATTCACAGTTTCCAGGGATTAGGACAGCGGGGGTGGGGCTGATTATTCTGCCTATTTCAGGGGAATAGTGGCAAGGGTTGAAAAAAAGGAGGGAGGTAAAGACAGCATTTTCAAATGGAAGTGTTCCAGGTGTAACTTCAGGCCATCCTCACATTAATCTTTGTAGACACTAAAACCTCTGGATGTTTTTTGCATAGCTAAGCTAGAACCTATCCCACTTTGTACTTGTGCTATTTTATTTTTCAACTTGAATGTAGAAATTTTCATATATTTCTGTTAAATTTTATCTTTTAGGTTTTAGCTCAGAGTTCAAATTGTTAAAATAATTTTGTTTTCTGGTTCTGTCTTCAGTCATATTTTCTATGCTATATAGTTTTTGTTTCACCTGTTGATTTGACCAGAATAATTTCTTCACCTATATAATTTATGAAAAGCATGTACAAAAATCAGGGTACAGTTATCCAACTAATTTTGAATTTACCTAATCATAATTAAATCAGGCCCCTATTTTAGTCTCATCCACAAAGATATGAAGGATTGGATTAAATGCTTTGTTGAAATTAATTTATATCATGGCTATAAAATTCCATCTTCTCTCAAAGATCAAATAAAGAAGTATAGTGTGACTTGTCTTATTTTAGTCAGTCTGGTTCCAATTGACCACCAAATTCTAACACATTCAAGTATGGACTCTGGAGTTTTACTCTTCTGTTCTAAAGTTTTCAATGTATACCTTTTTACCATTTTTTAAGCAGGTGATTTATCACCTTTTTCATTTTTTACAGTTTCTCAGAACTCAGCAGCAATAGATCTTAGGTTACTTGTAAACAGCTGTGAGATGTAATTTGTGCCTGGAAACATGAACTTCTTTGAAACAGATAGATAGGTGTTTTCTTACTGCCTCCTTACCTATCTCAAGTTTCAGTTCTCTTTCTATGTGTTTCACCTTTACCTATGTAAAGTCCATTTTCTTTACTGAAGAGGGAAAGAAAAGAAAAATTGAGTCAAGTTTCTCTTTAATGTTTATATTATTCTCTTAGGTAAATTACAAACTTTATGTTTATACAAATTTATGAAGGTTTATTTCTGTCTGCCTTCTGTTTTAATGCTTCACTCTCATTAAACCAACCTTCCCACTTTTCTGTCTTGAAGTTACCAGGTAAAACTCTATTTCTCAATGATTTCTCTATAGCATTTTATAATTTGCACCACATATTTTAACAGTGGAAGAAATATTATCTTCCTTGTTTGATGCTTTTAAATTATTTTTTAAAAAACTCTCAGCACAATTGTTGATTTCTTTACCTTTTTTTCATTTGGTTCACCTAGAAGGTTGAGAGTTTTTACCAAGTAGGAATACTAGACAATAAATACTTTTTGGTTGGTTAAATCTTAAATATCAAATTTGGCTATACATTCTTCAAATATCAGTCTTCTTTCACTACTTTTTCTGTTTGGAGAAACAAAAAGAGTAAAATACTTAAAATTCTTTTTGTTGTAATAAAAATGATACTACTAATAATAATAGTAGTAATAATAAAAATCAAACAAACTAAAACTACCTTTAGAAGTCATTCTCTTCTCCAACCCCTTCCCATAACCCTCTAACAATTATCAACTAATCATTTTACTGAGCTATTTAATAACTATTTCAGCCACATTTGATATGCTAGTTTGGAATTCTATTTATCGGTAAAGCTGCTTGATTCCCTGTCTACTTTGTCAGCCAAGGTGGCATTTCTTTTTTTTTTTTTAATTTTATTATCCTAAGCCCCACACCCCGGCTGCATTTCTTTATGTGTTTTAACTCATTCTAGACAAATGTGCCAATTTGCAATGCTTTGAAATCATATCTAAACTCTAAATAGATAAATCACATCATTTCTCTTGAAATCTTTTTTTTAGCCTTGCAGAAACGTTAAATATTTAAAGACAAATACTAGTGTTTAATAATCATAGATTTTTTAAAAGTCATGTAATTTTCAATGTATTATAATCATGTAAATTAATGAACTTGATATTTTAAAAGGTGCTGCAACAATTTAACAATTTTGCTCTTAATTTTGGCAAAAATAGCATAGGGTATACATTAAATAAGGCTTTGATGTCTAGCAAATTAAAAACTAACACAAATAGAATTCATTGTTCACCAGCAGGAGAAGGGTACGTTGCAGGTTCGTATTTAGGGTAGCAAGCCTTATTCTCTTACTCTACATTAAATACTGTCAAAATTCTGGTTCACTGTTAATTTTGTACAGCTAGGCAACTTGTTAAATCTCAATCTACAACTCCCATGATTTATGTATTCCCATCTGATTTATTTGTCTAAGAAATTTATTAATGAGACGTGGGGTTTGGGGTTTCCACCATGACAACCCATCAGTATGGCTTGTTTCTCCTTCCTAGATACAGAGACTCAGAAAGGAATATCTTCCCTGAACAGCTTACTTAGTTCTGGGACCTGGTAACTATAGAAACTTAGATTGAGATTATATGGCTAAATTGTTTACAAGACACAAATAGTCTGATAAATAGCCTGTTCAAATAGGCAGTAAAATATGTCATGGTCCACACATCAATCTGCAGCAATCCTTTTATTAATAGGTCTTATTTAGTATTCCCTTTGCTAAATTATTCTCACAACTACATTACCATCTGCATTAGTCTGTTCTCACACAGCCATGAGGACATACTCATGACTAGGTGATTTATAAAGAAAACAGTTTAATTGACTCACAGTTTCACATGGCTAGGGAAGCCTCAGAAAACTTACAATCACGGCAGAAAGCACCTCTTCACAGGGCGGCAGAAGAGAGAATGAGTGCTGAGTGAAGAGGGGAGCCCCTTATAAAACCATTCAATCTTGTGAGAACTCACTATCATGAGAATAGCATGGGGAAAACTGTCCCCACGATTCAACTGTCTCCAACTGGTCTCAACTTTGACATATGGGGATTATCACAATTCAAGATGAGATTTGGTTGGTGACACAGAGCCAAACAATATCATCATTATAATTTTCTCATTCATCCTATAAGAGGAATTTGATATCTTCCCTTTTTATAAGTTGGTAGATTTCATTGAGTGAGTGGTGACATTTAGTGGGGGAAATGAAAATATGTGCATATTCTTGCTTATTACATGTGTTTTCTCATTGGTAGCATTAACAATATTTACTGTATACTATGACGCATAGGACTTGGAAGTTTAAATTGGTGTAAGAAAAAGCTTTTGGCTGGGTGAAGTGGCTCACGCCTGTAATCCCAGTACTTTTGGAGGCCAAGGACGGAGAATCACTTGAGCTTAGGAGCTTGAGACCAGCCTGGGCAACATGGCAAAACCCTGTCTCTACAAGAAGATGCAAAAACTAGCCTGCGTGGTGGCATGCACCTGTAGTCCCAGCTACTTAGGAGGCTGAGGTGGAAGGATCACTTGGGCCTGGGAGGTAGAGGTTGCAGTGAGCTGTGATCACACCAACCTGGGTGACAGAGCAAAACTTTGTCTCAAAGAAAGAAAGAAAGAAAAAGATAAGAAAAAGCTCTTAACCTCAGACTATTTACAATTTAATTGAAGAGATGGTACATAAATAAAATGATGTGAACAAGATGGTAGTATGTGTGCAGTTGGGAGGAGAGTGATATCATTTTGTCTCGGGTGATGAGATTTTTAGAGAATTGGGTTTTGGTCATGTCATTTTGAAGCAAGAGTTTTAAAAGCATAAGCAGACAGAATGAATGACACAGAACATTACAAGGATAAGTAATGCAAGAAACAAATGCCTAGAATAGTAGTAGAAATGAGTAGGCTTCTGAACTTATGGCAGTTTAAGGCTACTAGTGAGAAGTGTTGGGGTAAAAGTGTGGTTCAGTAACATTTTAATCATGTTTATCTTTGACTTTAATTTAAAGACCAGTTTCACCATGTTGGTCAGGCTGGTCTTGAACTCCTGAACTCAGGTGATCTGGCCACCTTGGCCTCCAAAGTGCTTGGATTACAGGCGTGAGCCGCCACGCCCGGCCTCACCTATATTTCTTTACTTGGCCCCAAATCCTAGGTCATTGAGAATTTATAACTAAAACGTTCTAGATGTTTCAAAAAGAGAATATATCATGAACAGTTTTCGTTACATGCTTTCTTTAGTTTTTTGGTGTAGTTTCTTGAACATTCTTACCTCCATTTCTCCCACCCTCACTGCTAGATCTTTTAAGCCAGGGGTCCCCAAACCCCAGGCCATGGACTGCTACTGGGGTCTATGGCCTGATAGGAACCAGGCCGCACAGCAGGAGGTGAGCAGAGGGCAAGTGAGTGAAACTTTATCTGTATTTAAAACTGCTCCCCATGGCTGGTATTATGGCCTGAGCTCCATCTCCTGTCAGATCAGCAATGGCATTAGATTGTCATAGGTGCAAGAACCCTATTGTGAACTGCACATGTGAGGGATCTAGGTTGTGCACTTCTTATGAAAATCTAATGCCTGATCATCTGTCACTGTCTCCCATCACCCCCAGATGGGACTGTCTAGTTGCAAGAAAAGAAGCTCAGAGCTCCCACTGAATCTACATTATGGTGAGTTGTATAATTATTTCATTACATATTACAATGTACTAATAATAAAGTGCACAGTAAATATAATGTGCTTGAATCATCGTAAAACCACCCTCCCTCCCCTGGAAAAATTGTCTTTCATGAAACTGGTCCCTCCCTGGTGACAAAAAGGTTGGGACCACTGTTTTAATCATCAAGGATTCTGACGAACCTCTTTGAATTTTCTATTTAATTCACATTCCATAAGATAAGTAAAACCTAATTACGCCTTGATTCTTTTTCCCCCTAAGCATTTAGAAAGCAGAGTGTATGTCGGGGAGATCTCGTTTAAATTCGAGAAGCAGAAAAAACAAAGACAAGTAAAAAAACAAAAACAAAACGTGATGTACACAGGATTGACAGAATTAAAAAAAAAAAAAAAAAGTCTGTGTGCAAAGGAGTGTGACCATGCAGAAATCTGGAGAGGAAAATATGTAATGTTAGTGTTAATACCTTGGCCCTATTTAGGTCACTTTGAATAATGAAACTCGAAACACCAGATTATATTTTTAGCACAGTAGGTGCAGTATCCAGTCTCTCACAGATGAGATGTCCTGTGTCTCAGGCCGTTTGGAAAATTCAGGATCTGCCGCGTTCCCAGACTTAGATGAGGACACTCCGCGAACTACAAGCACCCTCAAGTGCGAGGACGTCCCAGGTCGGGGTGTGAGGGCGAATGAGAGGGCTGGGGAGGAGAGGCAGGAGTTACGGAAAAGGGACCACAGTACCCCAGCCGCTGCGGCGGGAGGGAGAGGGGCTGCGGAGGACTCACAACGCGTTCAGAGAGGCCCATCCAAACGCCAGGAGACAGATGGCAAGGGTGCTTAACAGGGGACGTGACTGGGCGAGGCGGCTGAAGAGAGGCCGTGAGCCAAGGTCACCCGCCAGGCGGCGGCAGGTTTACCACTGAGACCCGCGCCCGTGGATTTTGCCCGTACCTCAAGAAATAGCATGGCGAGATCCCCGCAAATCCCAGGCGCGGAAGGCTCTGGGGAAGCGCTTCGAGGCCCGGCTCTAGCGGCTCAGGGACGCCGGGCAGCCGCGCGCCACCGCTCGCCCCGCCCTCGGGCGCGCTCCTCTGCCCGGCGCGCTGCTTGCCTGCGTGCGTCGGGAGCGCGCCCGTGCGCGGAGCCGCGTTTTCCAGAAGCCCGGTCCTCAGGGGCGCTTGAAAGGAGGCGAGCGCGACTTCGGTGCCGCGAGCTTCCCTCGCTGGCCGGCGCGCTGTAGGCTCTGCTTCAACCAGGGGCGCGCGGGTGCGCGCGGCCGCGTCCTCACACGGATCCCAGCCCTGTCACCCGCACTGGGTCCCCAGACTGAGCGCGTCCGGGCCTGACCGCGCTGCGGTTCCGGCCCTGAGGTGAGGAGGGCGTCGCGGGCGGCGGCGCTTGAGGCCACCCTGGGGCAGCCGTCCCTGAGGGAGTGAGGGGTCGAGGAGGGGCTGGCGAGCGAGGGGCGGCGGGGAGGGAAGGGGAGTCCGGCGTCTGAGGTGTGGGGTGAAGCGGGCTCGGCAGCGGGCCGAGGCGGCGAGCTGAGGGAAACAGACATCCCTCAGCTCCCGGGAAGCGCGGGTTGCCAGCCTCGAGGATGCGGTGGGAGCGCCGCTCACGATGCGGGCGTGAGAGGGTCGGGGTCCTGGGGCCGGGGCGCTGCGAGGCTCCCCTGGGACCGGGTCCGGCCGTGGGACATCGCGACACTGCCTTTGGCTGGACGCTGTCGTTCCACCCTTAGCAGCGTTAGGGAGAGAAGAAAAACATTGATGTAAATTTCCGTCCCAACAGCTGGATAATGAGCCCTTGCTCTTTCTTCCCCGAGGGGTTACGCGCGGATCTTTACCTTGTGTGTTAAAAAAGGGCTGAGAAGAAAATGTGCAGATCTCACGACACAGTTTGGGAGGGAAATTCCCTGATCCTAAAACGCAAATAGGAGCTCCAGGCACGGAAATATTTACGTGGATCGGAAAGCTGGGAAGGCTCGAGTCGGTAATAGCTGAAGGAGGCTTTCTCCTGGGCTCCTTAGGCTTCGACTTAACGTTTTGGAAATATGTCCGAAGATAATGAAGATAATAACCACGTTTACCTTCTCCGAGGGCGTTCTGAAGGAATCTAAGACGGGGAAAAGTATTTCCTAGACTACAGCTTTGAGCCAGGCTCGGTGGTAGCTCTTTTAATTCTTGACAGCAACCCTGTAGGGTTGGAGGGGTTATTCCAGTTGGGCAGATGTGGAGAATGGGCCTCAAAGAGGTTAAGTAACTTGTTAAGGTCTCAACTAGTAAAAGGGTATAGTTGGGATTCCAACCCAGTGATGCCAGACGCTAAATCTGGTGCTTTATCCACTGTATTTTGTGGTTGTCCGAAGAGCAATATTGTATGTGCTTTAGGGAAGACTCCATAGGAGGGAACATTATTAGGGTAGGTAGGGCTTTGGGTGTATTTGTGTTAAAATCAAACTAAAGAGGTGTTAATCTTTGAACATATGCTGTTTAAGTGTATTTCCTTTCAAACAGATTTAGTGTAGGGAAATCTTAACATTCATTATAAGCAAATTTATTAGTACATTACATGTTTATCGCATGTCTTTTATTTTTGAAAAGACAGGGTCTTGGGATGTAGTGTGGTGGTGCGATCACAGCTTACTGCAGCCTTTAACGTCTCGGCTCAAGGAAGCCTCCTGAGTATCTGGGGCTGCAGACATGTGCCACTGCGCCCAGCTAATTTTTTATTTGTTTTTTAGAGACGAGGTCTTGCTATATTGTCCAGGCTGGTTTGTTGCATGTCTTTTACATTCCAGATACTATACTGCATGACAAAAGTACCGATATGAATACAATTTATAATCTCTGTCCTTGAGTTTAGTTGAGAAGCTGATTGTTTAAAAGAATTTTATGATATTGTACTAAGTCGTTCTTTTCTAGTATGTGAATTAGTTGGATTAAAAATAGTTCTAAGGACAAGCTTTATGAACCTATTATGTATAAGAAAATTTATTGGATGACTTGTCATCTGTGTACCACTGCATTGTTATTTTCTCCTTCAGCAGGAAACACTGTCATAAAATTTAGGTTAAATTATATTGACAACTAGGATTTTTCTCTTTCTTTGATTCTTTTTTTTTTTTTTTTTTTTAAGACAGGGTCTCATTCTGTCACCCAGGCTGATGTACAGTAGCAGGATCTTGGCTCACTGCAGCCTGGACCTCCCAGGCTCAAATGATCCTCTCACCTCAGCCTCCCAAGTAGCTGGGACCAGTAGTTGCATGCCCCTACACCTGGCTAATTTGCTTTTGTTGTTGTTATTGGTGGTGGTGGTGGTGGTAGAGACAGTGTCTCACCATGTTGCCCAGGTTGACCTCAAACTCTTGGGCTCAAGCCACCCTCCTGCTGTGATTGCAGACGTGAGCCACTGCACCTGACTGCATTTTGTTTTATTATTGCATCACTTTCAGTAAAATTTAAAGCAATAGAGAAGATGAGAGCATTTATAATTTATCTCTTGTTAGGTTAAAAGGCATATTTTATAGTGTTTTATTTTATTGATTGAGAAGCAAATGATGTAGCTAAGCAGGACTTTATTTCATGTGCCTGAGATGTTCCTAGTCTCTCATTCCAAAAAATCTTTGTTGAAAAGCATAGCTAATACTAGATTGTATTTAAGTTTTTGTGGTTCAAAGTTGTAGTGAAATCAGTCTTCTGTTTAGGCTGAAATAGCACATCGTTGAAATGTATAACATTACTTCATGGTGGATTTTGGAAATTTCTTTTAATTGCTTCAGTTTTCTCAGTAAAGTAGGATTCAAGGTCATAATCTGAGGGTGATCCTACAGATGGAAACTTTGGAGATTTGTGGATTGGGAGAGTGATGGACTAGTGAAATATGTGATTACTAGGAAATTAAACAATTACTCGTAGATGTGAAAAATACAATGGAGGAAAGATATGAGTGCACAAATTAAGGTGTCTAATTTTGCATACCAGAAACTTCATAATGCATTCCCAATGCCTGCCTTTACCATGTTATCTAGAACATACATCAGCACCCCATGCTCCAGTTCACTTTGCTTTATGCCTCTGCCATATCGCAGGTTTCCCTGTTCTTTACAAAAGTCAGGCCCTTTTGTTTGGGAGTTTAGCTTTCTTTTCTTTCTGCCTGGAAATTCTGTTCTACTCCTTTCCAAGCTCTTTCCCTCTTATCACATTATATTAAATTTTATCTCTCTGCAAAGTTAGTGATAGTGTCTAACTTTTTTTGCCTCATAATGTTGGATGTGTAAATCTTTCAGTAAATGTTAAGTGAATATGCCACTTTTCTCACTTTCCCTCTTCTTCATTTTTAAACCTATAACAGGATTTGGCAAACTTTTTTTGTAAAGTGCCAGATAGTAAATATTTTGGGTTTTGCACATGGTATGGTCTCAATAACTTTACTGTTGTAGCACAAAAGCAGTCATAGATAATACATAAATGAATGAGCATGGCTGTATTCCAATAACACTGTATTTATAGACACTGAAATTTGAATTTCATATAATTCTTGCACATCACAAGATATTATTCTTTCTTTTTTTCAACCATTTATAAATGTAAGACACAGTGTTAGCTCATGGGCTGTGCCCAACATGCTGAGGGTTGGATTTAGACCCCTACCTCTTTCATCATAGTTTGTACTCCTTGATCTTTAACGACTCTCAGGAAGACTTGATAGAGGAATCTGTGGTAAGATGATATTGGTTATAATATTTCCATTGGTGGTAGAGAAGCAAAGATATATAAGGCAGTGTTTTTTTCATCAAGGATCTCATGGTCAAGTTCAAGATGAAAACAAATAAATAAATTAATGGTGACAGGGTATAGTTACTGCAGTTACAGTTATATTTACTGGATATAGAGGTAGAACAAAGGAGTGATAATCAGCTCCATGTCAATGTTAATAATGACATTTAGGCAATATGATTAAACATTGAGTTTATTTGAGCATAAAATTTGAGGATGGTCACATAGGAGGACACAGACTCCTAAAGGGTGGGCTAAATGCAACAAAATAGAGAGATTGGAGGGTCCTTTACATAGGCAAGGTCTGGGGATGGTTAGGTCTGGGTTACATCATTTTTCATACAAGGTTAGTACATAGTTAGAGCAATTCAATTAGTTATAGGCAGTGTTTCCTTTTTGGGGAAGGATATATTTAACATTTCACATTAAGGATGTAATGGTCAAAGGGTTTTTTATCATGGTCAAGGGGACTTTTATCCCTGGCACCATCTGGTCTGAGCTAGGAACAAGAAAATAAGGAAGGAATTTCATATATAACAAAAGGTCAGTAATTAAGAGGTCAAGCCAGTTTCCAAAGTCACCCTTCCTCAGGGCTAAACAACGTTTAGAAGCCCCAAGTAGACAGACTATCCATTTTCTGTTACATTTGCTTAGGTGGATAAGAAGTAACCTCTAACAGTCATTTGTTGGAGGTAAGGAATATATTTTCAGCTAGCCTTTCTGGAAATCCTTCAAGGATGCTAAGAAGGTGACTGACCACGTTTCTTATCAGGATGGCTCTAAACATTGGGATGACTGAACTTATGTATTTTATAGGATATAATCTTAATTCCTTCTCACAGAAATAAACATGGATATATTTTTTAATTAGCCTATATATGTAAAAATAATTTAAAAATTGTAAGGTTATTTTACCTGCTACATAATAAATGGATTGTTTATTCCACAGATATTTAGTTCCTCCTCTGCTGTGCAATGAGTTGTTTTACTAACAAAAAATATTTGAAAGAGATAATGGTATCATTAGATAAGTGATGGAGTTTTTTTAGGGGGGCAGGGGAAAGGGAGAGGCTCTTATAAACAAAGCACTGCTTTTAACAAAGGCAATAAGTGTAACGGTAGAACTACCTTAGATTTAAAAAAATGCTTTATAACTTTCAAATTTCTTATTTTAATTAAAACAAACTCATGCATCCTAAATAATTTTTCTCTAACAATTATTTCTAAAGGTTATGTACATTTTTATTACTTTTAGTGATGTGAAATATGTTCCATAGGACTTGGAATGTGGTGACTAGTACTTTTAAGTAAATTTTAAGTGAATTAAGAAGGGAATTTTTGATATTGAAATTTAGATTATGCAATTCCTGGTCTTTAAGTCAAATAATACATTAGAAAAAGAAGATGGGCTTTAGTGGGCTTTCAATTTTCTTGCAATTTATTGGATTTAGTATAAATTATTTTATTTCAGAAATTATTTATTTAGGAAAGTTAAATTGATTAAATCTTTAGAGATGTTAGGCGTTTAAAACTCATCTAATTATTATTTAAAGCCCTACAACAAACTTAGCATGTTTCTCAGGTGTGCTGTGGAACAATGGAAAATAACTTAAAAAATTTTTTTTTCATCCCTTATTTCTCTTTTTGCCATTTT